TTTAATAGAGAGACTATCCTTTTGTGAGCTATACACTTCTTGCATCTAAACACCAAGCAGCAATGCTAAGAAACATAATTTTGTAGCACAGTTTTTCACTTGCTTTCTGACTGAACATTTGTACTGTACTGATGAGAGGTATTGAAGGCACCATCATAAAAATTAGAATCTATTTTGTAGTCCTGCCACATAGGTTAACATCTAATATAACCTTGAATCACTATTTCCTTTTAAGAAACCTTTTAGAGGCTAGCTTGATTTGACAATAGGCTTCACGTGTTGCGAATTTTAAACCACTGTTTGCATTTTCTCTCCATGAATGATATGTGTTTCCAAGCATAAAAGCCAATGCTTCAGAATAAGCTGTTTTAGCTACTGGGTTTCTGATGTCAACAGCATAAAGCTTACCACACTGTTACTATTGTTGTTAAAACCATTAATAACAACAATACTTAGTACTTTTATAATGCTTTACATTTAAAAAGCAATGTGTGAACAATTCTTCCTCACAGCACTCACTGTGACGTCCCCTCTTTTTATCCTCATTTTACAACTTGGAAAAGAAAATTAAGACACAAAATACATCTTCCCATTGACTCTAAAGGGAACTGGCCCCTGACAACCATCCTAGATTTCATGGTGAAGCCACATCATTTGCCAACGCATATCAGCTCTCCTTTGTTGGAAAGTTGCCATTGGTCAATCTAGTGGTGTATTTTTTTTTATTAAGACTGAGATTAACTAGTGAGGGGGCTGCTCACAAAGGTGGTGGCAGGCAGAAGATGGCATCTTCCTGTTTTGCCCTTTGTGCTACTACATAGTTTTATCTTCTCCCCCCTTATTTGGGGGGGAGCTATCGGTTTCTTGGGAAATCTGTTTCTTGTTGCTCACTCTGGGTGAGGTTTTATGCTGTAGACAGGGTTGGGACTACAGACATTGGCTAGGCCTTGGAATAACTGCAGGCCTTGATAAGCCCAGGCTACATTAGGGTGCTCCAGAGTGGAGTACCAAAAGGGGGGGGGGAGAACAGTGATAGCATAGAGAGGTTTTTTCATGGCTGCCAGAAGATACGTTTTGTAAATTAAAAGTTGACCACGTTATTTATTTTTCCAAAATACTATGTTGTCCGTGCATACTGGCCCTCTGCTATTATCAGTGGAAATGAGATCAGACCTTAGGTGACTTATATAAGGTTACTTACCTAGTACAAGTCAGTGGCAGAGCCAGACACTGGAGGTCTTGGGTACCACTGATATGCTTACCCCACTAGGTGACACTACCTTTCTGACATGCAGTATATAGTCATACTGTTCCATAGCTTGGAACACTTTGAAATATATGGTACTTTTATGTGGTAAATTGGGGTTTTTTACTGCCCTTTAAAACCCCACAAGTTCTGGTTCTTCGTATTCCTACTTAACAAGAACTACCTGGATTTAACATAACTGCTTTTGCCAGAGTGCTGTACAGATGTCTAATACAGAAATTTACTTTTCAGAGGATGTATTGAGGGTTATGATGTTCTTTGAAACAACTAATATGGCACTGAATTCATTTATCATAAAATACTAGAACTAGAAAGGATCTCAAGAAGTTATCAAGTCCAATACCCATGACACAAGGCAAATTAATTTGTCTTGTGATGATAGGGTATGTGAAAGGAACAGAAGAACATTAACTAAACAATTAAAATAGCTTTAAAAAATGAAATTTTATTTTTGTTGAGATACCTGTCTTGGATTTGGGGGCCAACGAGTAGAAAAAGGACAGGGAGATTTCTACCTGAGTCAGTTGTGTCAAAGAATTTTAAAATAATACATACAAATCATTCCATAAGTTAATGGATTCCCTGTTAAAAATGACCCAAACCAGTATTGCTAGTTGATTTGCATCCAGAATAGCTCTCATCAGTTCAACATAGGACATCATGTGTACTAAAGGATCATTAGATTTGACCTGTATTTAATCATTTAGTCCTAATTCCCCATCTGTCAATCCAATGGCACAAAAAATGATTTCATTATCTTTAAACTTTTCTAATCATCTGGCTTTGTTCACTCTAGTGCTGGTGATGCCTCAGTCTCCCTTGACTTCTATTTTAACTGTTATTTATAGTCCTAAAAATCTTCCTATTATCTAGGATAAGTCTCAGCTGTTGTAAGTCCTAGGTTCTGTTCTGCTGACTTGCTGCATGATGATCATAGACTAGTGATTTGGGCTTAAATTTTGAAATGTTAATATCAGTTTTGTGTGCCTCGATTTAAATTTTTGTTGTTGGTGAACCGCTGTTGCTTCCATTGACTTCAGCTGGAGTTTCAAGAGCTCAGCATCCTTGAAAAAAAAACACACCAAAGGTGTTTAAAGTTGGACAGCCAAAAACTGAGACATGCTTCAATACAGAACACTTTTCAAATTGTGCTTCTTGGCCTCTCTACATTACCCACTTGTAAAATAGTGACAGAAGTTCTGTACTGAACTTTGTATGTGTGTATCAGTCTGATTCCTGTGTAAGCCTAAGAACTTCCCTATTTATGGTAGCACTTGTCAATTCAGAATTAAGTGTTGATGACTACAGTAACTAACTATGATTGATTATACTAATAAACATGTTGCTTTAGATATGTGGATCATTCCCTTTTAATAATTTTAATAAGTAAAATGTATGGAAAAAATACTTAATGATATTCCTTTAATGTTAACAAAGCATTATCTTATTTAGATAGTACAGACAAAGTCATCTTAAATAATAGGTAACTTAATGGTAAATAATTCCTGTACCTTTCACTCTTGACCATTAACTATTAGGTTATCATATATTTCATACATAATACAGAGACGTTAAAATTTTAGCAATGATTTTTTTTGGCCAAGTATGTAGAGACATCAGAAATAAATGTGTGTGGAAATGTACACAACCCCTTTGTAATCTGTAGTCAGATGGAGGTCTGCACCATATAACTTAATTTATTTTTGTCCAGCTTCCTTAATAGTCAGAAACACACACACACTCTGAAAGGCAATGACAAACTAAAGAGAAGAAGATTTCCTGGTAAGATTTAAGGAGAAGTAACTGCTTGAATCTAGACAGGCATTGATAGTACAGTTTATCAGTACAGATGCTGACAGGGGAGGGGAAGTGGCAAAGGGGAAAATTGCCCAGGGGCCTGGCTGCACCATCAGCACAGCAGGGCTAAGGCAGTCTTTCTGCTTGCCCTCGCTCAGTGTCACTCCCAGAAGCAGCTGGCATTGTCCCTGGGGACCCCAACGGAGGGGGGGGGGGACAGAGGGTGTCTGCGCACTGCCTCTGTCCCAAGTGCACACTCCCAATGGGAGCTGTGAGGCCAGTGCCTGCAGGCAGCAGCTCATGGCACTCCTGCTTCCTAACCCCCTAGAAGCCACTGCTAAAGGGGTGAGCCAGTCACTTTTGGGATCCACCCAGAAGTAAATACTGATCCCCACATCCCAATCCCTTACCCCAGCCCAGAGTCAAAACCCCAAACTTCCTTCCTGAAACCAACCTCTGGCCTAGCCCAGAGCCCACAAACGCTCACAGACCCCATACCCTCTCCCACACCCCTTCTTGGAGCCCACACCCTGTACTCCCTCCCACACCCAAACACCCTCCCGAAGCCTGCACCCTCTCCCTTGCCCACATCCAGACTTCCCCCCCAAAGGCTACACCCCAACCCTCTGGACTAGCCTGGTAAAAGTGAGTTAGAGTGGGGGAGAGCAAGCAATGGAGTGAGGGGTGGATCCTCAGAGAAGGGCAGGACAGAATATGGCCTTGGGGAAGCAGTGGCAAGGACAGGGCAATGGTCTTTGGGTTTGCATGATTAGACAGCTGTCAAGCCTACTGGGTGGACATGTGAAAGCCCTGTTCGTTTTGGCCACTCGCAGAGCACTAGCCAGTTCAGGCACAGCACTGGTCTAATGTCAAGCCGACCGTATCCCTGCAGGCGTGGCTTGTGCATGCCTGGGGGGGCTCATTGTCTGTTCTGCCCTTGGGACTGGAATTGCTATTAGTGGCCTTGGCTGCTGAGCATGAGGCTTTGGACTCAGAGTCCCATGAGAATCAGTAGACTGAGGAAAATGGGTTTTCAAAAGCACCTAAGTGACTTAGAAGCCTAAATCCCATCAACTTTCAGTAGGATTCAGGATCTAAGCCATTTATGTGCTTTTGACATTTTTCCCTATTGTATTTATCATATGAATTAAAGCAGCGATCAGTGGACTCTGAAGACTCCCATTTCATGAGAAATTTTAGCAGCTTTTCTATGAATGGCTATTGTGGCTCTGCCATGAGCATACATTTCTTGCTGGTATCAGCAGTAACTACAAGTCTATGAAGAGCTTTGAAAATCATAATAATTTAAATTGAATAGTGAGATTGCTAGAGTTTGAGGAATGATTGGGTTGATATGGCCTCATTTCCAGCTGCAGCTAAATCATCTGGCTGTAGAATTCTATACTCTGTAAACTTTAGTGCATATGGACTTAGGAAAAGATTTAGAGAAAACCAATTACAATAGTCAAGTCAGGGTTAGGAAACATCTAAAGATGGAACTATGCCAAGGTACAAACGAAAGAAAGAAGAGAAAAATAGAACATTCTGAATCAAGAATAATTGGATGATATTATCATCAATTAACTATAAGAAAAATGAGCCATGTTAAAATAAAAGACTGACCTTAAGTTGCAGAGGAAGTTTATAGTGGATCTGGAAATAGAAATCATGTCTCTCTTCTGGTTCTGCACGCTAGTAAACTCTATAGTGGCTATTGCATTTTAAGTGACATCTTATTGAGTAGATTACTTCCTTTTAGAATTTACACAGGGGTTTCCTGTGGATTAATTACTCAGTTTGTCAATGTCAGAATGCTACTCAGAACTAATATATACAAATATAGCATATTAAAGACTTACAAGAAAGGTAACTATTATTGACAGCAGTGCTGTATGAGTAATTAAATCACTGTTTTTTTGGATAATTCTCTCTGTAGATCTGCACTCCAGATTTGGTGGTGTTTTTGGCTTGTTCCAATCAACGGCTGAAGGAAAGGTTATTGAAACGTGCTGAACAGCAAGGGAGACCTGATGATAACCTCAAAGCCACTCAACGACGGCTAATGAATTTCAAGCAGAATGCAGTTCCACTTGTCAACTATTTCCAGGAAAAGGGGCTAATCATCACAGTAAGTTGGGATTTATGCACCCGATAAATGAATGTAGGGCTGCAGTTGAACTCAGGAGCTTATACCTGGTATTCTGCATTATCTTTGCTTTATAATAATGAGTCTGAGTCAAATTCTGCTCTGATTATTCTGTCTGTGCATCCACACTTCAGTACTGAAAGCAAAGTTTGGCTTGGGCCTTTATAGCTATGGAATGCAGATGTACTGTATTATCTCATGAACTTTGCATTATTTGTATTCACAACTTCTTTTTAAAAGACAAATATTTTTCACTTCCTATAGTAAAGAGGTCATATGGAAGTTAAAGAGTAATTTGTTTATAGAGCATATCAAAGAATGTTTGTTGTGTATTCAAGGATTGGATCAGCTCTGTGGTTGTATTTTCAGTGTTAGTCATCTGTTCCATTTCTGGATTTTGGGTAGGAGAAAGTGATGAATTAGATTTCAGATAATCTGTTGGTAATACCATTAAGAAATGTATACTTCAGGGACATGCCTGCACTTTGAGTAGTCTTTGTAATTGTTAACTGACTGTATGAGCATGCTACAAATTACAATGGAGCCATGGCAGGAGAGGCTTAGCCACACTAAGTAGGTACTATCGGAGTCATACATAAAGCAACTAGACCTCCCTTTACAGGGATGCTATTTTTAGCACAGTGACTCAGAGCTAGTATGGGTATATCTCTGGCTACAAATTCACACCTATCTTAAAGTGTAGACACACCCTTAATTTAATGAAGACTGCATAGCAGTGTAGACTCAGACCAAAATTATATAGCTGCTATGACACATAGTTTCTTTAAAGAGCATCAAAACATATGGAATTAAATTCAGCGCAGTGCAAGCAGCTAGGGTATGTCTACAGTACAGAGTGTTTTTTTTTTTTTTTTAAACTGCCATTTTTCTGAAAAAACTTCAGTTATGTCCATACTGTAATCACATTCTTTTGAAAGAAAATTGGAAGAACAGGCTTTTTCTAACATTGGTAATCCTCATTTTATGAGGAAGAAGCCTTTTTCCAAAGAGTTCTTTCGGAAAAAGAGCTGTGTGGACAGAGAAGGGAGAGGAAAGAAGAGGAAAGAGGAAAAAGCACAGGTGCTCTGGTGGCCACTCCATCCATAGTAATCACAGCTTAAATACGAGGTAGCATCCACTCAGTGTGGACACTATCTTATGAAAAAGCAAATCGCTTTTTTGATGTGCTTTTGCAGTGTGGATGCTCTCATTTCAAAAGAAGTTTTTCTGGAAGCTCTCTTCTGGAAAAGCTTCTTCTGACAGGAGCCTGCAGTCTAGACATAGCCCTAGTGAATACTAAAATGCCCTTTCAACCTTTCTCTCAGGGCATAAATTATTCTTAGGGCCTTGAATTTCATCTAAGGAAACAAAAACAGTGAAACTTTAATTATTGTTTCAAGGTTACAGTGTCATGTACTGCAAGCACCTTTGGGATTCTTTGTCTTGAAAATATCAGAGTAATGTTACATTCCCTGGATTGCAGGGCCAGATGCCCAGCTGGCGTAAACCAGCATAGATCATCTAAACCACGAGTGGCCAATCCAAGGCTTGCGAGCCACATGAGTCTCTTATTCCCCCCCACGGCTCGAAAGCTGCCCCAGTGTCCTCAAAAATGGCCCTCTCTTCCCAGCTCCCTGTGCTAACCTGGGCAGGGAAACTGTCTAGTGCGGCCATGAAAGCTGCAGAAATGATGGCAGTTGGTGGGAGCCAAAAAGCCTCAAATTGCATTTAAATGCGGTTTCTTAAAGGGGCAGAGCCTTTTTTGGGGGGGCTCGACAACTTTGTCCTGACTCCTTGGCTCTTTGCCCAAAATGGGTTGGCCACCCCTGCTCTAAACTCAATGAACAACATGAATTTACACCAATAGAGGATCACTCCATTAAAGTATATGCTATTCAGACAAGACACATCCTGTTTATAAGGTGGTATATAAATGATAATTTTTAAAACTTTGGAAGGCAGGGTCTGGCATAAATTGGTCCTTTTTGAAAATCAGTGTGAAAAGTGATCGCTGCAATATGCTGGAAAAGAGAATCCATCTTTTCATACATACATGCAAGGTTTAATCAGTACAAGCAGGGTTATGAAGTATTGCAAACGTATTTCAATGATTAATCAAACCTTATAACCTGCATCATCACAAATAAGATTATGACAGCTTTAATAAGGGGATGATTAATTTAATATATTTTTGCTTGCTGAAATGTCAGTAGCTCTAACGGAGTACTGAATAACAATGCAGATCTTGAGCATGAACACAGATGAACGTTAAGAGGAATATCTTTATTATAAAAGGATACTTTAAAAATAACTTTTAAAAGGGCAGAACAAGCAGAGAGACTGAGATCAAGGGAATACAATCTGGAAATTAAGATGACGAGAATAAACACAGAATATTTAAAAAAGCAATCTGGTTTTAGAATCTTTAGCTGAGAATTCATAATATATTTGAAAAAACATTGCATAAAATATGGTCAAGTGAATCTCTCCAACTCGTTTATCTCCTGGTAATTTACCATTTCTTACAAGTACTGTCCTATTGCAACCTGGGTCCCAGGCAGCTCTTTAAATCTCTCCCTGCTGGCTTTTGCCGCAGCTTAGCCAGTTCTTGTCGGAGCTGCACCCCAGGGCGCACCCGCTCACTTTTACCTCAAAGTGTATTTGACCTCTTTCTTAGTCCAATTGTAAATAGTAATTCACTGCTCTAGGTATAAAATCCAGATAATGCAATTAGCCTAATAATTGTTCTGTTTCTTTCTCTCTTAGGATTTAATTATGCAAATACTAATTGTTTTACCAAATGCTAGCTAGTTTAGGGTGAAATTCTGGTCTTGCTGAAGTGAATATCAAGTCTCCCATTGATTTCAGTGAGGTCAGGATTTCACCCTGAGTGTTTCCTACTATGAGTGGTCAAATTACTAACAATGAATTATGTGCTCTGCCTGTTGGTAAGAGCTTGGAAGGTTGACCCTTAAGAGAAAAACTGGCATTATATAGTGTATAATAATGCAATCTCTTTTGAAAAGTTCTGTAAATCATACAAATATTTTTCCCAATCTTTTCAAATATGACTAAGCCAGATTCATAAATATGAATAATCAGATTCACAAATGTCAAACATGTCCTTAAATTGCAAGGTAGATATGGTAGGGAGAGGGTTTTTTTCAAGGTTCAAATATTTTGGTCAAGGTGTAGTCACAATTCAGACTCCAGAGAATATAAAAAGACAATAATAACAATAATGATAAGAAAATAAAAAGTTAAAAATATCTCCAATATATCCTTTTGGATTAAAAGTAAAAGATGTATTGGAGACAGATTTTTTTTATTTGGAATGCGTTCAAGACAATCTTTTTATTTCAGAAGGTAGAGAAAGTTACTAGGGGAGAGATTCTAGATTTGATTTTTGACAGATAGGGAGGAACTGGCTGAGAATTTGGAAGTGGAAGGTAGCTTGGATGAAAATGATCATGAAATGGGTAGTGTTCATGAATGTAAGGAGGGAAAACTGTGCAATAAAGACAATGTATTTCAGCAAACTAGCAAACTCAAAGAGTTCGTAGGTAAGATCTGATAGGAAGCAAGTCTAAGGGGAAAACAGTTCAAGAGAGTTGACAGTTTTTCTAAAATACATTATTAGGGACACAAGAGCAAACAATCCCACTGCATAAGAAAGATAGGAACTACAGTCCTGATAGGTATGGTCCCATGGGAATCAAGACTGAGGGGAAAAACAACTGAGGAGAATTGGCAGTTTTTCAAAGTGACATTTTTAAGGGCCCAACAGCAAGCTATTTCGCTGCGTTGGAAAGATAGAAAATATGGCAAAAGACCACCTTGGCTTAACCACGAGATCTTGCATGAAATAAAAATAAAAAAGGAGTCATATAAAAAATGGAAAGTAGGACAAATTTACAAAGAATGAATATAGGCAAACAACACAGGAATGCAGGGGCAAGATTAGAAAGGCAAAGGCACAAAATGAGCTCAAATTAGCTCCGGGAATAAAGGGAAACAAGAAGACTTTTTATAAATACATTAGAAGTAAGAGGAAGACCAAGGACAGGGTAGGCCCCCTGGTCAGTGAGGAGGGAGAAACAGTAACAGGAAACTTAGAAATGGAAGAGATGCTTAATGACTTCTTCATTTCGGTCTTCACCGAGAAGTCTGAAGGAATGCCTAACATAGTGAATGCTAGTGGGAAGGGGGTAGGTTTAGAATATAAAATAAAAAAAGAACAAGTTAGAAATCACTTTAAAAAGTTAGATGCCTGCAAGTCACCAGGGCCTGATTAAATGCATCCTAGAATACTCAAGGAGCTGATAGAGGAGGTATCTGAGCCTCTAGCTATCATCTTTGGAAAATCATGGGAGACAGGAGAGATTCCAGAAGACTGGAAAAGGGCAAATATAGTGCCCATTTATAAAAAGAGAAATAAGAACAACCCAGGAAACTACAGATCAGT